TTTTTTTTTTTGGGGGGGGGGGAGGTCTAATTCAGAGTTTACTGTAGACATGGCTATTTGAATGCTTCTGTGTGAATGCACAGTAACTATTCCTTCCATCTGATTCCCTTAAAGTAGTATGATTCCTTTGTTCAGGGTATACAGTGCAAGCGGCAGAGGAGGAAAACATGCCCCAAATAAGATACAGGTGCCGAGACGCTGCTGCAGCCGAGAGGGAGAAAGAAAATTTCTCTCTACGCAGCGGACCGTTTTTCTTTTGCCATGCCAACTTAGGGAATAGAGAAGGCAGAACAAACTTGGCACGATCTTAACAATACTACAGACACGGTTTGGCCACTTCACGTCGCCTTCAGTAGCCTCCTGCAGTGGTCAGAGGAAGAGATGCCCCCAGCATCCGTCCATATTTTTTAAACATTTTCTTACAGGAGCTTCTATAACTTTAGTTCTTATGGAGTTTGAGTAACTGGATATTTGGGCTTGGCTGACACAGGTGCTGGCATCCGATTGACAAAACGGAACCCCCCCCCCCAGCTTATCACACAAGTGAGGTTAGGATGCAAGAACAGAGAGTTAAGCAGGACAGGATCTGCCCAGGCAACACTGCCTTTTGTGGTCAGCTATGAATGGGAAGAACAGCTTTGTAACTAGGTGTTACGAACCGAGTAAAGGTCCAGCTCCGAGCCCCTCTTTAAGCAGCACGGGAGGGGCATAAGAAACTGAGACCTTCTTTCTCACACCTCAGAATGAAAAGGAGGCCCCCTCATCTCAGTAGGACTCTCCTTTTTATTAGGTCGAAACTCCGGGTCAGTGTTTACTCACAGCTGATCCCTCATCAGTTTCATCCCAATCAATTCCTCCCTGGTGGAGATCAGGTGTCATCTTTATTCTCATTGCCCCTCTCTCCCTCCCGCTTAAAGCTCCTTGTCCGACCCTTCGTGCCTCCGCACGGTCTGGACCGGCTCTCCTCTTATAACTCTGCAGCCCTCTGCGGTGTAACTGTTCCATGGTTCTCTGCGAGATAGTCTGGGGCGCTTCCGATCTCCTTGGTTCCTGTATCTCTGAGACCTGTAAGATGGACATCTTCTCCTGTCATCTGCGGCGAGTCGACTAGGGGTTCCTGACACTAGGGTTGCCACGTTTCTCAGGGCCCTGCTCCTGCGCTCAAGAAATTAAGCAGGCGACACTTTCCCCACTTCTTCCCCCCATGCTAAGAAAGACTGTACCTGCTCACATCAAGCTGTTTTCAAAGGCAGAGGAGGAGCAAGGCGACTGTGTAAAACTGAACACTGCCCTTTCAGCCTTTTAAACGTGACATGGTCCACCGAAGGCAGAATGGCATCCCGTTCTATTTCTCCAGTGCCCAGGCAGCTGCTAAGATTGCTGACCACTGCAGGAGGCTACTGAAGGCGACGTGAAGTGGCCAAACCGTGTCTGTAGTATTGTTAAGATCGTGCCAAGTTTGTTCTGCCTTCTCTATTCCCTAAGTTGGCGTGGCAAACGAAAAACGGTCCGCTGCGTAGAGAGAAATTTTCTTTCTCCCTCTCGGCTGCAGCAGTGTCTCAGCACCTGTATCTTATTTGGGGCATGCTTTCCTCCTGAGGCCAAGCATTCACATTTAAGGCTCTGCAGCAAGACCTTAGGAACGTGTGATGCCTTCCAAACAGAGACGGGCACCTTTCTATTGGGACTCCCCAACACTCACAGGGGAAAGGCCAGCCGTGCAGACCGGGGCAGCTTGCACTGGCTTCACACCCCCGTGGACTAGCCCTGGCTGAAGCAGCTCCCTGCCTTTGCATATTATACGGAGAAAACGTATTACCCAACTCACTGAATCAGACCCCCGTGAATGTGCCTGAGATCTTTAGCAGAGCAATGCAGGTACTCTGACTCCTCTCGGAAAGAGCTGCTGCAGAGATGAGGGGGGGGAGGCCACCAAAAGTTGGACAGCGGATTTCCACGGCTTCTTGTGAGAGCATGGCACAACACGCTCACACTCTAGACTGGACCCACATCAAGTTCTGGCTCAGAGTGAACAACCCCCCCGTAGAGTTGGCTTAACTGTCCCTAGAGAGATACGGTATCCAGAAAAAACAGACATTGGTTGGACTAACGTTTCGTGAAAGCCAATATGGCCGGTTAAGCATGAAGGATAAACACAGTTCGCAATGATAAAGAGCAGGGCCAAACGGCTGCTGGAAGGCCAGTGTTTCTTCAGACAGATGTGCGTGGCCACAGTGCAGAAAGCCAGACCCCACCGACTGCAACGCCCAGTTCCGCACGCACTAATGAAGAATCCCAGGTGGCAACCCAGACAGGCACGCTTCTCTAAGGACAGCCCAGAGACAACATCAAACGAAGAATTATTTCTCCAGTCCCTTCTTGATCTCCTCTATGAGATTCTCCTTAGGAACATCGATCTGAAAAGCAAACGACAAACATCAGGCTGGGATGATACATCGAACAAGATATTCTCCACTGAAGAAGAAGAAGAAGAGGTTGGATTTATACCCCGCCCTTCACTTGGAGTCTCAGAGCGGCTTACAAACTCCTTTCCCTTCCCCTCCCCACAACAGACACCCTGTGAGGTGGGTGGGGCTGAGAGAACTCTGACAGAAACTGCTCTTTTTCAAGGGCCGCAGAGCTTGTGACTGACCCAAGGTCACATCAGCAGGTGCAAGTGGAGGAGTGGGGAATCAAACCCGGTTCTCCCAGATTAGAGTCCGCGCACTTAACCACTACACCAAACTGGCTCTCCTACACCAAACTGGCTAAAACAAATCAGACTGTAAAAAAAAAAATCTGCCTGATGTCAATCATCATGTCTCCCAAAAAGCTCTAGAGGAATATTGTCAGGGCTCTTTAAGAACTCTGGCAGCGTCCTCTGAAACTCTAACCTCTTTCCTGGTGGCCACATCCCGCAGTTTGACCACTCCGTTGTCCATCTCCTGCTGTCCAATGATGGCCACAAGCGGGATTCCTGCTTCTTCACAGTACTGTAGCTGGTTCAGAAGAGAGACACCATTTCCCACCATTCCCCCTGAGCGTATATAGGGGGAGCTATACGGGGAGAAAGGAGATTATATAGAAAAGAATCAATGTCTAATCAATGTCTAATCAGTGGGCGATTCTGCATCTAGCATTCGCTCCCCATTTTCTCAGCTGGGAGGGGAAAGTGCAGCTTGGGAGCATACACACGTGTAAAGTTCTGGGTGTGTATCTGCACTCTTGTCAGAGGTCATTTCGGGGCGGATCGCGGAGGATCGCAGTTCCCCTGGGTGAGGTGCGAGGGGGCGGGGCACACGACGAAGCCCCGCCCCTTGCGTCCGGCCGCTTGCTTCCAGCCTTCATTCAGCCAGGAAGAGGCAGGAGAAGAGGGAGGGTAAGTTGCTTCCTCCCTGCCTCTCCCCACCCCTGCCTGCCTGGGGCCAGGGAGGGCCTTGGCGGGGCTTCCTCGCACTCCCGCCGGCCTTGCAGGTCCACCGCCGGGCCCCTGATGTCAGGGGGTGTGGCATATGCTAATGAGTTATGCTAATGAGTTCCCCTAGCTCTTTTTCTACGAAATGACTCCTGGGAAAGTCAAACATTCAGACTGTGGGCCAAGTGCCAGAGCCATCAGCATGAGAAGACCGCTCTTTAGATCAGAGGCTCCCGGCTGCTTCCGAGTTCTGGGCCTTCACCACACAGGAAGCAGGCAGGGGAGTCTGGGGTGCCACCTCCTTGTGCCTTCAGGCATGCTAGCCCCATGGCACAGGTTGACTCCGACCCCTCAGCATTACTACCTTGATGCCAGCATCCCAGAGTTCAGCAATGAGCTTCATCCTCCCAGCGAGAAAGTCCTTCTGAGCAGCAGCCACCAGCACTTGCGTCTCTTTTGTGCGGATCTTCTCCTTGGACAGCTTGGAGGAAGGAGGAAAAAACAACCCTCATTGACCGCTGCACGTTTATTATTGGCCTAAAAGTGGAAATTAGATATAATACCGACTAGGGAGGAATTAGTGTTGAAGGTGCTAGAATTAGCACAAATGGATAACTTGAGCTTGAAGTTGCAAAATAAAAACGAAAAAGTATATAATAAAAGATGGTCTAAGGTATATGATTGGTTAGAGATGTTAAATGTATGAGACTCTACAATATATGTTAATAATGTATTGGAATGTAAACCTTGTAAAAACCAATACAAATATTCAAAAAAGAAAAAGAAAAAACAACCCTCATTCAAGCAACTCAAAGCAGATGACGGTATTTGTGGGCCAAGCAAGCGATCCAGTTCATGTGAAAGTCTAGGACGGAAGCCAGGCCACCTTTGCTTCTGAAGCCAGGGTTGAGATCCAAAGTGCGGCCTGTCATGGATCCGACTCAGGAAATGAGGAGGGGAAAAGGTAGAACCCCCCCACCCTTTCTCCTTTGCTTTTCACGTGTGCAGTTACCGCCCACACACAAGAGGATGCGAAGCCACATCCTGGAGGCTGCCTCGGCTGCTTCCCAGGGGAGGTGGGGAGCCCCATACTGGGAAGGGGAGCCCACAGTCACAACAGTAGATTTACCAGGCCTGCAGCCAGGATTCTGGGGCTTGTGAGGCTGGTGGGGCTGAAGTTCTCAGTGCAGAAAGAAAAGCCGTTTAGCCAACAGAAAGCTGTGACCAGGATCGATCTCTCAATTGCAAGCTGTTAACCGCTTTAGATGACAGTTCTCAGCTGCTGCAAGTTAATCACTTCTGCCAGCCTAAGTAACAATTCTGCTAACAAGCTGGCAGGTGGGGGGTGATGACTTCCACAGACAAGAACGCTAACTCTTAAGCAGAAAAACTCTCTTAAAGGAGATCAGTTTCTTGACACAGAGTCAGAAGGGATCCTAGAGGTCACCTACTCCAACCCCCTTGCTCAGTACGGGAATTGGTCAACTACAGCACCCTACTCTGCTTAAAGGAGCACACATCTTTAAAAATGTTTTTATTAAATGATTGAAAAAACGCATTTATGGGAGAATTTCTTGGTGGCTGTGCCTTTAAAAAAGGGGGCTGAGCCCCCCCCCAAAGCCCCATCATAGCTACGGGCCTGCAGATTACATTTCTGGAATGGTGAATGACGGCACCTTTTGTAAAACTCAGTTTCATCTCTCATTCTTTTTAAATATTGGCCATTTATTTTTGTCTTATTCTCAAAATGTTATTAGGAATACCAGAATCTAGGACAGTGCTAATGATGTTGGTAGTTGTCTGTGTAGGTGTGTGGGGAGAATATTTAAAAGAAGCGAAATAAAAACAATCCCCCAAAGAGGTGTAAGGGGTTTGGGGCAAACACAAATAACCAGTCTGTTCCAGAGATGAAAAGCTAAGGTCTGCCTAGCAGAGCAGGTGCTGTGTAGTGATCCAGAGCATCAGCTGGCTCCACTTCTGCATCTGAACTCAGAGCTAGGGTGGGCCAAGCTGCCACCCCTCAGCACCAGCACCACAGTTGTCAGAATGTTGGCCTATCCTGCAGTAATCACTAAGTTAACATGTATGGTAATGGCTACGGGCTCAGGTTTCCCCCTCAAAAAAAAAAGGTTAGCCAGATTTACAAGCAACAGATCTGATGACGGCTCCAAGCTGTGAGAGGTAAATGGTACCTCTGAGTTTAGGCCATACTCTGCCTAGCTGCAGACAGAAACAAAGTGGACTCTGAGTGCTGGTGGACTGGGGTTTGGCCTTTGACGAATTTGAAAGAAAGATAAATACCGGCACTAAATGGGTTAGGTATCTGGGACAAGATTAGTTCCACACAGAAAGCATTCTTTGGTGGGCTAATCATGTGGACTGTAAAGCTGATTTAAGCTCAATGAAATTAATGAGCTGTAAGCTTAGGACAGGTAAAAGGAAGTACTTCTTCTCCCAGAGTCATTAACATGTGGAATTCACTGCTGCAGGAAGTGGCGGTGGCAAGCATAGACAGCTTTAAGAGGGGACTGGACAAACATATGGAGTGGAGGTCCATGAGTGGCTATAGATGGAACATTCTGTCTGGGGCAGGGATGCTCTGTACTCTTTTTTTCTTTTTTCTAATAAATTTTGTATTAAATTTTTCAACATATACAACAATAAAACAAAACGCTCTGTATTCTTGGTGCTTGGGGGCAACAGTGGGAGGGCTCCTGGAGTTCTGGCCCTGCTGGTGGACCTCCTGGTGACACCTGGGTTTTTGGCCACTGTGTGACACAGAGTGTTGGACCGGATGGGCCACTGGCCTGATCCAACATGGCTTCTCTTATGTTTTTAGCAGGGCTTTTTTTTTGTAGAAAAAGCCCAGCAGGAACTCATTAGCATAATAGGCCACACCCAACAGCAGAAATTCATTTGCTTATTGGGCCACACCCCTGACAGCACAGCTCATCAGCATATTAGGCCGCACACCCCATGTTACCAGAAGTGTGGTTATCCAGCCACACCCACCTTTTGCTTCTTATTCTGTTTACCTTGTTTGTTGTCAAAACCCAGGGCCTTT